GGCTGGCCCTGGCGGGTGGGGGCGTGGATGGCTGGCCCTGGCGGGTGGGGGCGTGGATGGCTGGCCCTGGCGGGTGGGTGTGGACGGCTGGCCCTGGCGGGTGGGGGCGTGGATGGCTGGCCCTGGCGGGTGGGGGCGTGGACGGCTGGCACTGGGATCCAGCGTCCAGGTCTTGAGTTCTCTCCTGGGGATGGTGACAGGTGCTAGGTTGGGGAGACAGCCCCCCCCTTGTTCCCAGCCCATGTTTGGGCCTCGGGTCACACTCCGCCCGCCATCCCCGGCTATCTTTAGCAGGGACAGTGCCCCCCCCCCCCACTAGAAGGCCTTATGTGGGACAGCGGCCTTCATTTGCTCACCTCAGTTTTTCCCTGCCTTTCTCCCTGATTAGGGAGCTTGGGGTACAGCTCAGGCCCAAGACTGGGGTGCATTCAGACCCACATAGGGTTCTGGAAAGGCCAAGGGCAGCAGCCTGGACAGCAGAGCGGGGAGCGGGAAGCTCTGGCTCCCTCCCTTGATGGGGGTGGTCTGCCTGACAAAATAAACCCTGACTCGATCCTGGGAACCCCACATGGATGGCCTGGGACCACAGGACGCCCTTCCAGCCCGTTGCCCAGTGTAAATAACGGTCCTCCGGCTGTGTGGATTAAGATGGCCACTTGGCATCTCGGAGCCTGGTTCCCCCACCGATCAACCGTATCGCTGCGGGCAGCATTGATGGGTGCACTGCGAGCTCAGGCCCCGCCCGGGGTGCTGGGCCTCTCCCACTGAGCCACATCTGTAGCTCAATCCGGCCGCCGCCAGGCTCTTCCAGTCAGCTGCCTAAATTCTGGTGGGTCCAGGTGCGGTGCCCACGTGCTCTCTGGAAGGGAGACGTGAAGAGGATCCTGCGATTCTCTGTGTCATACTATAGCCCCCGTCTCCCGGGACCAACCTGACCCCTGACACCTGCTTAGGCTGGCTGATGGCCTCATCGGGAGGGATGAGGCTTACATTTTTCTTTTCTTTGTGCTTGAATTCAGGGCCTAGGCACACTGTGCTGTTGCTTTATTGCTCAAGGCTGGTGCTCTACCACTTGAGCCACAGCTCTGCTTCCGACTTTTTGGTGCTTACATGGAGATAAGAGTCTCGTGGACTTTTCTGCATAGTGTGGCTTCAAATCTTCATCCTCAGATTTGTTTCCTGAGTAGCTGAGATTACAGGCATGAGCCACTGGTGTCTGCTTAAACTTTAAAAGAGTACTCGGTCTAGATCTTTCCTCGTAGCTTTGCTTGGGGTCAGAGGTCAGCGTCCCGGCAGAGCATTGGGGGGAGGGGACTGTCCGCTGGGGCGACATGGGAGTAAAGGGGTGTTGAGCAACCCACCATCAGATTTCTCTGTAGGGATGGAGCTCAAGCGGTGGAGGGTGACGGCCCTGGGTTCGAGTCTCCGCTTTGTCCACGTGCTGTTGTCCTCGGCCAGCTCCTGACATCTCTCAACAACCCGCTTCTTTGCCAAACTGACGTGGTTGGCGCGTGGCAGACGCGTGCAGTCAGCGCTCAATAAACGCGCACTAGCATGGCGCCAAGATGGGGCTTGACTGAAACCCGTCCTGCCAGCCCTGGAGCCCAGCTGAGCCCCCAAGTCCGGCCTCCCCTGTCCTTCCTGGGAAATCGGGGCTCTAGGGAACAGGGTGAAGGAAGTGGAAGGCACCCACGGGGTCCCCCCTCGTCCCACAACCGCACAAGGACACGCCAGGCGGCTCTGTTCAGACACCCACTCTTTAATGTGAACCCGAGCCCAGACAGACACCCACCGGGTCAGCTCCAGCCTCGTGTGCGGTGAGCATAGAAGGGTCTGGAAGGCCGGGAGTGTGGAAGGTCTGGAAGGCCGGTGGGCCTCCCTCATGAGCCAAGCCCACGCCATGTTGTGCATAAATAATAATAAATAGAAGAGTCTGAGCACACGCGAAGGCACTGGGCGCCTGAGGGCGGATGGAGGGCTGGCGAGGCAACCGCCAGGTAGCTCACCCGTCACCCCACGGGGGGTGGGGGGGTGCCTTTTGGCATTCCGGGCACTGGGCACCACCAGAAATGCTCACTCCATCAAACAAAGGAAAAACAAAAGAAAACAAAACAACAACAACAAAACGGCGGGGCCTCGGTGCCGCTGGCCGTCCACCTCGCCCACTCACTACGCAAACAGCAAACCCACGCACGCTACTGGGAGGCGGCCGCCACTTACGCCCCGCGAAGCCGCCCCCACCGCTGCCACCGTCACAGCGATGGGCGGATCACTCCCCCACTTCCACTGGGTGCTTGGGGACACTGGCCTGGGGGTGATGGTCTTGGGGGGTGGGGGGGACACAGCCTGAGGGGCACCCGATGGACTGGCCGGGACGGTGTGCGGTCCCCACGCCCTCCCCCGGCTCAGTGCAGCTCGATGAAGGCCTCCAGGTCCTCGGGGATGAAGCCCTTGTAGGGCACCTTGTTCCGGTGCAGCGCGCGCGCCGCCAGGCACTGCAGGGACACGTGGTTGAAGGGCTGCAGGGCGCCGGCGGCCAGCAGCTCGCCAGCCAGCAGCTCCAGCGGCGTCTTCCTGAAGGCGTTGGTGGTGTCCAGGTGCGCGCCGGCCTCCACCAGCGCGCTCATGATGACCGGGCAGTTGTTCTGCGCCGCGATGTGCAGCGGGGTGTTGTTGTCGAAGTCGCGGCTGTCGGGGTCGGCGCCGCAGTCCAGCAGCACGCGGACCACGGCGAGGGACGGGAAGAGGCCCACGCGGTAGCGGCCCACGTGCGTGGTGTCCTTGTCCACAGCCATGTGCAGCGGGGTGAAGCCGTTCTTGCCGCGGGGCGCGCACTTGAGCAGGCGGTAGACGGTCTGGTGCTTGAGGTGCTCCTGGCTCGGGCTGCACTCCACTTTCTCCAGCAGGTAGAGCAGGTGCAGGATGATGGCCAGCGCCTTGGCGAACTGGCCGGCGTCGCCGGGCTCCTTGGGCAGCTGCAGGGCACGCTCCACCTCGCGCACGCCCTTGCCCAGCACGCCCATGAGGTCGGCGAAGCCCACGTGCGGCCCGGGGCCCGGGGCCTTGGCCGATCGCTCCTGCAGCACGTAGGAGAAGAGCTCGGCGAACGACAGGAAGCTGCTGGCCGTCATGGGGCTCAGGGGCTCCAGGTGATTCTGCTGCATGTCCAGCGCGTACTTCCACAGGCCGATGCAGCGCTGGAAGTTGCCCGAGTCGGCGTAGACCGCGCCGCGGTAGCGGATGTAGTAGGAGGTGTCCGGGTGCGAGGGGCCCAGGATGCGCTCGCGGATCAGCAGCGCCTGCATGCGCATCTCGTCCGGGTCGGTGATGAGCGCCTCCAGCTCCTGCACCGTGCTCACCTCGCGGGCGTAGCCGTAGGCCAGCACGAGCTGCGGGGGCTGCGGCTTGGGCAGGTACTCGCCGCCCTGGTGCCGCAGCTCCATCGCCCGGCGCCAGTGCTTCAGGGCCCCGAGCAGATCGCGCTTCTTATCCACGTACGTGGCGCCCAGCAGCTCCAAGGCCTCCACCGCGGCCTCGCGGCTGGTGGGGCAGCAGCTCTCCACCGAGGGGGCGTCGGGGTCCCGCTGCTCCTCGTCGTCGTCCTCCGGGTCCTCCGGGCCGCCGGGGCCCCGGGGCGGGCGCTCCAGGCCCGGCTGCGCCTGGATGAGGAACTCCACGATGTTGGTGTGGCCCGTGACGCTGGCGGCCAGCAGCGGGGTCATGCCGTAGCCGTCCCGCTCCATGCGCGCGCGGCGGCCCAGCAGCAGCTGCAGGATCTCCAGGCTGCCGGACTCGGCGCAGTCGTGCAGGGCCGTGTTGCCCTTGGCGCTGCGCCGGTTCACCCGGGCGCCCTGCTCCAGCAGGTAGCGCGCGATCTCGCGGTGGCCCTTGTAGCAGGAGATCATGAGGCAGGTGTGGCCGTGCCGGTTGGCCACCTCCAGGTCGGCCTGGTGCTCGCCCACCAGGTAGCGCACCACGTCCAGGTGGCCGTCGAAGCAGGCGGCGCGCAGCGGCGTGGAGTTGGTGCGCGTGGTGCGGTTCACCGACGCCCCGCGCCGCAGCAGGCTGCGCACCACCGCCAGGTGCCCCGCCGCCGACGCGGCCCACAGCGGCGGCGCGCCCTCGATCGTCTCGCCGTCGAAGTGCACCGAGCCGCCGGCCTCCACGTCCGCGCCGCACCGGTCCACCAGGAACTCCACCACGTCCAGGTGGCCGCGGCGCGCGGCGATGAGCAGCGGCGTGCCCCCGCCCGCCGCCGCGCCCATCAGCTCCTCCAGCTCCTCGCGGCCCCGGCCGCCCAACAGCTTCTGCAGCAGCTGCAGCTTGCCGTCGCGGGCGGCATTGTACACGGCGGTGTGCAGGTCCATGGCCCGGGGCGGAGCGGGGCGGGGGGCGGGGGTGGGAGGGGGACCCGGCGGCTAGCGCCCCGGCAGCCCGGCCGCAACCTTCACCGTCCCCCCCGCTGCCATCTTAAGGGCCGCGCGGGGCGGAACAAGATGGACGCCGCGGCCCCGCTGGTGTGACGGCACGACGGGAAATGGAGTTCCGGGCGGCGGCTTGCTCCGTGAGACGCGGGGAGGACAGCTAGGCGAATCTCGACTACACGTCCCATAAGGCAGAGGGACAGCCGCTGCGCCCGGCGAGGGAGGGAGGCGCTTGATGGGAATCGTCGTTCCAATCGTTGAGAAGGCAGGAACCAGGCGGTTTGAGAACTACAATTCCCGTCGGGCCATGCGAACCGCGAGCAAGGAGCGTGATGGGAATCGTTGTTTCAGTCACTGTGACCTGGCGCCCTAGGCGGGTGGGACCGGGCATGACGGGAAATGGAGTCCTTCACTCAAAGCCGCTTTGTAAGATACGGGAAGAACAGCGGAGAGATAGTCACTACAATTCCCAGAAGGCCGAGGGCTAGTCCCTGACGCGTACGGGAGTTAGCAGTCTGAGAACTACAATTCCCGTCGTGCCATGCTGCAAGCTAAAGGGTGTGCCACCGAGGGGAGTTTGGTGGCGAACTTCCGCTTGCTGTCACTGTGCTTTTACAGACAGGAGGACTACATGTCTCAGATGGTACGCGAAGGGACTCGGAGTCCGGCCGGAGCGAGAGTCGGCTTCGGGCCCCCAACCGGTAGGGGTCGCGCGGAAGAAGCAGAAAAGCGACCTAAGGCGAGGACCACGGAGCGGGGCCTGGCGGGACAGGTGGCGAGAAGGGTCAATCCTCCTCACTCGTCCATTCTTTGCATTTGTTGGTCTATAAATATTTGGGATATCATAGGGACAAGATCCGAGAGCCAAATTTGCCCAAAGGTATTTGGCCTGGAGTGGGCTGAGTACTGATTCGAATGTGAATGTCCCGTTAGGTCTTTATTGTAAGCACCCTTGGCTGTTTTCTGTGAGCCAAGCTATTGATTGACAGTTGGCCGTCCCTTCCTTTGATTGACAGCGCAAGCCCCGCCTCGTGTGACCGCTGTCAATGTAGCAGTCCCATCAGCAATACTGCACGGGGATCTCCGCGCCTGCTCCAGGGATCTCTACGAATACCGCTGTTGCTCAAGGCCCTGAGCCCTGCTTTCCGAGGCCTTGTTCCGGTCACAGGGATCAAGTCAGCCCCAAGCAAACTTCTCTTCTGGCCCGATGAATCTAACCCGACTCCAGATCGCCCGACCTCTAGGTACGCTCAGAGCCCAAAGGGAACGCCTCCTCCGTGTCTCAGCTTGATTGACTGCCTTGCGAGGCTTGTGATTGGTGGAAGCCACGCAGACCAAGGCGGTGATTGGTGGGACTTGAGGCGGTGCACAAGCAAGCCACGCCCACTTCTGGCTCTGTAAGCCGGCTGTTTTTATAGGCATCTCCCTTGTCTGTCTGTCTGTCTTCCTCTGTCCCTTGTAACGTTTGACTAAAGTAAAGACTTCCAAAATGGTCTTTTTTTTTTTTGCCTACTTGTGTGGCGCTACTTTTTTGGGGGGGGAGGGAGGGGCAGTCCTGGGGTCCCTCAGGACCTGGCAGTGCCTCAGGTCTGAGGGCTGTCCTTAGCTTTTCCACGCAAGAATAGCGTGATAAATGATATGATAGGCATAAGATGTGCAAAAAGAGCTAGGCACCACTGACTCACACCTGTAATCCTAGCTATTCAGGAGACAGATCTGAGGATTATGGTTCAAAACCACCCTGGGCAGGAAAGTCTGTGAGATCCCAGGCTCTGAGTTCAAGCCTCATACCAGCACAGATAAAATAAAATATACAAAATAAGGTACAGTAGGTAGACTGTATTGTTATTAAATTCATATAACGTAGTATACATTGGCTGGGAAGGTGGCTCAGTGGTATAGAGTGCTTGCCTCTCATGCATGAGGCTCTGGGTTTGATTCCTCAGCACCACATAAGCAGAAAAAGCTGGAAGTGGCTCTATGGCTTAAGTGGTAGAGCAGTAGCCTTGAGCTGAAGAGCAGAGGGACAATGCCCAGGCCGAGTTCAGGCCCCACAACCAAAAAAAAAAAAATAGTATACATTGTTACTATATGAACATTGTATAGTTTGTCCAGGTCCATGGGCAGAGTATCAAGGGGTCTTCAGGGTGTTTCCTATTACATGCTCCAGGGGTCGTTGGGCAAGAACTCAGATCTTCCCTTCAGGGACCCACAAATCCATGGTCAAATGTATAAACAGAGGCCAGGTGTGGCAGTGAGTACCTGTAATCCCAGCTATACAGGAAACAGAGGTAGGATTGCAAGTCTCAGGGTGACCTTGGGCAAAACTGAAACCGTATACCATAAAGTAAGTAAAGCAAAAAGGGCTGGGGGCATGACTCAGGGGTAGAGGGCCTGCCTAGCAAGTTTGAAGCTCTGAGTTTGAATCCCAGTACCACCCCACCCCCCCCAAAAAAAAATCCAGCCAGAAAACTTAAACCTTAATCAGCCTGTCATCACATCCAGTGTCCATCCAAATTCTGATCTTTTGCATCTCCTCAAAAGTCTCTGCTTCCCTTCCCTTAACAGCTGGTTGATCTCCAACCCTGAACCAGGTAGGATCAGACAAGGATTAAGTGTGCCAGGTGTGCCCTCCTAGCATGGGGGTCACCGTGTTGCCTGGGCTCCTCCAGCATCCAAGGTTCAGCCAGTGTGGGGTGGTGCCCTGGAGGGGGTGGTGGTGAGGGGGGGACTGGGTGGGAAACTCAACCATCTCTGGCCGTTGGTGGCTGTCTGTTGCCATGGAGACCCAAGCCACTCTCTGGTGAAGGACCCATTAAGGGCCAGGAAATTACCAAGGCTTTCTGGATAGACCCCACCCTCCTGCTGAGAGCTGACAGGACCAGCAGCCGCAGCCCTCAGACAGGGCATAGAGGCGGGGTTAGCGCATCTGATCCTGCCTCCACCCCACCCCCAACATAGAATCCTCTGAAATATATATTGGGGACCCCCAACGCTTGCACCTGGGACTAATGGAGTTGTCCCCAGCAACCCTCTGAGGATTCAGGCTCACGCCCAGCTGTGATGGCTCACGGGGAAAGGGGTGGAGGAGCAACCATCCCAAACATTATTCTGGTCGAGTCTTCATCCTGACATCATCCCCCCGGGAAAATGACCAAGGGACACGTCAAAGATACCACGCTGTCCCTGAACGTTGAATCATTATGGGAGCTCAGCTGGCAAGCCTGGGCCCTAAGGCCATCTGGATTTGAATCCAAGTTCTGCTGCCTACTTGCTGTGCATCCTTGGCCAACTTGCTTTACATTTCTGGGCCTGCGTGTCTGCTTCTGTATATAGGGTACAACGAGCCACCCAGCTTGTAGAGGTCTGAAGAAACAAGTGTGGTGAAGCCGGGCGCCGGTGGCTCATGCCTGTGATCCTAGCTACTCAGGAGACTGAGATCTGAAGATCACAGTTCAAAGCCAGCCCAGTAGGAAAGGTGTTGAGACTCTTATTGCCAATAAACTACTCAGAAAAAGCAAAAAATGGCACTGTGGCTTAAAGTGATAGAGCACTAGTCTTGAGCACACACACACACACACACACACACAGAATAATAATAATAATAATAATAAAATAAACCAAGCTCAGTAGCTCACATCTGTAGTCCTAGCCACGGTAGCAGGTTCATGGTCAGAGTCCAGTTCTTCACAAAACTGTTGAGTCTCTACCTGAAAAAACAATACTAGGGTTATGGCTCAACTACAGGGGTGTGGTCTTGACCTGGAAGCTGATTTTCCCTGGCAGGTGACAAGGGCAGAACCTGAATTAGAAAAGGAGTCCACAGTGCAAATGATTTTGAAAGCTAGAGGGGCCTGGCAATTAGTGGCCCCAACCTGTCTTAAGCAAAAAAAACTAAGGGAGCTGTTGTGTTGGCTCACATCTGTAATCCTAGCTACTCAGAAACCTGAGGTATGAGGATCACAGTTCAAAGCTAGCCTAGGCAGGAAAACCAGAAGTGGTGCTGTGGCTCAATGTGGTAGAGTGTTTGCCTTGAGCAAGAGAGCTCAGAGACAGTGTTTCGGCCCTGAGTTCAAGCTCCATGACACACCAATGTACTCATTGCCTGGCTAATGAAAATGTTAACCCCTTTGTTGAACACCTTAATAATAATATATTTTTAAAAAAGTTAAGTGAGGACATGAGGCCCCAGTATTGGCCCACACACAACACCAGTCCTCAGGAGACTCTTACCTCCAATTAATCACTCAAAAAATCAAGGCTGGGAATGTGGCTTTAAGCCCTGGGTTCCATTCCTCTCTACCACATACACACAAAAAAGCCAGAAGTGGTGCTGTGATTCAAGCTCTTTTGCCTTGAGCAAAAGAGGCTCAGGGACAGCGCCCAGGCCCTGAGTTCAAGACTCACAACCCAGGGTGGGGATGGGAGCTGTCTGCATGTATCTCTTCCTGACTTCTTCCTTTTATACTTCACCATCAACCTGGAGGGAGCTGGGAACCCCCGAACTTCCAGCCTATCGGTTAGCACGTGGGTAGTGGCCCGAGAAACCCAGAACTAGTGACTGGCATCTGAAGCAAGGAGAACCCTGTGGAGGGGCTTTGTGTTTAACCCCAGTGGAACCTGGCAGAAACTGTGGGAGGGAACCACAGATGTAGGGTCATGGCTTCACATTCACCGTCCACGTTAGCAAAGCGGAGGAGGGAGGAGCAGGCCGCATTCAGCTGCGGTGGCTGGGCTCTGTCCTCCGGCATGCTGATTGGACCTCTGTAGTCTCTGCACAAACCAGGGGTCCCCACTGAGCTGTGCTGGAAGGGCACCAAAAGTAGAGATGGCAAAACGAACAGAGCCCCTTGTTCGAGGTTTGCAGGAGGAGGCCCTACTCCTGTCTCATGAAAACTTGGGGTGATGGAGGATATATTCTTAGGGTTTCACTAATGCAGCCCACGGGGACATCAGACATGATCCTCCTGCCTCAGTCTCCTGAGTGCTGGTATTATAGGCATAGGTGTGAGCCACAACTTGTTGATTGAGATGGGGGTTGGATCACTTTTTTTTTCTTCAGGATGCTTGTGATGCTCTTCATCTCCTCCCACTTAGCTGGGACTGCTGATGTGAGCTACCACACCACACAGTCCTGCAGGTGGTAAGGGGGTGGGGGAACTTTGGTATGTAGAGGGACCCTTGGATTGATGGAGACAAGTCAGAGAAAGATGGGGGGGGGGCAGATGAAGGGTCCTGTCCTTGCTGATTGATTCAAGGTCACTGTGGAACTCAGGACAGAGTCTCTGGACACTGAGACATCAGAGGACACCCATGGTGCCTTTGGTATCCTCTCCCATTTCCAGAGAAAATTCTAGGGAACTTGCATTGCCTTCCAGGACCAGACTCAGCCTAGACACGGGGGCCTCCTCTCCCACCCCTCCCCTCCATTCATGAACGGCCTCGGGCATTTGGGTGATCTCTCTAATCACATTTTCTCTGCTTGTTAATGGGTCCACTGAGGGGATCCTCCTGGGAGGGAGGAAGATCACATTTGTCTGGGGATGGAGCAGGATACAGGGGTTGCCCGAGATAATGACGGATCAATGCCTCCTAATTGCTAATTATACCAGCCTGGCTCTCCCTCATGAGGCTGTTAGTTGGCAGGACGACCCAGGAGTATACACAAATTTAATTATGGTCCTTCCCCCAGACACCTGCCACCCCAGTCAGGATCTGGGGGAGACCCAGGTGAGGGGGGGTGTCTTCTTGTGTGTGTGAGAGAGAGAGGAGAGAGAGAGCCATTGATCTTTTTATAGGTTTATTCACTTTTTTTTTTTTTTTTTGTCAGTTGTGGGGCTTGTACTCTGGGCCCTGTCCCTCAGCTCTTCAGCTCAAGGTGAGCCCTCTACCACTTGAGCCACAGCACCACTTCTGATTTTCTGGTGGTTCATTGGAGATAAGAGTCTCACAGACTTTCCTGCCCAGGCTGGCTTTGAACTGTGATCCTCAGATCTCAGCCTCTTGAGTAGTTAGGATGACACCGGCACCTGGCTATTCATTCATTCATTTCTGTGCTAATCCTAAGGCTTGAATTCAAGGCCTTAGCACTGTCCCTGAGCATTTTCACTCTAGACTAGCACTCTACCACTTGAGCCACAGCTCTGCATCTGGCGTGTGTGTGTGTGTGTGTGTGTGTGTGTGTGTGTGTGTGTGTGTGTGTGTGTGATTAATTGGAGATAAGAGTCTCCTAGACTTTCTGGCCCAGACTAGCTTCGAATTGAGTTCCTCAGATCTTAGCCTCTTCAGTTGCTAGGATTACAGGTGTGAGCCACTGGTACTAAGCAGATCTGACTTTTTATTCATTTATTGTTGATGCCTTTACTGATTGGACAAATCCATGTGCATCACCTGCCGGGTGCCTGTGCTCTTTATACCCATAATGATTGCGCTTCCACCCTAGAACCCAACACCCCAGGTCCAGGAGAATGTAGGTAAATACAGTGCTGATGCG